TGATATCACAAACTATATGACAGATGGGTCAAGTCCTGATTTGTAGTATTCTAACATTTGGAATAACAAAGTAACATATTTGATAGAACTGGCAAATTTTTATATATGATTCAACCCAGAGTATAAAAGGCACTAGAATTTCAAGTGGAAAATAACAAGCTGGAAACTATCAGATACCACACATTTTAGGAGGGTGGGAGGAGTGAGAGATCTGAGTACACATTTAAATTGCACTACGAATTTTTTAGCTATGTCTTCAGCCAAAATTTGTGTTATTATTATTTTTTTTTTAAAAAATCTAGGTATCTGCAAAATAATTTATTTGAGGAAGTTCCTTCCTTTTTTTAACTAATAACACTGATTATGTCTGGAAGCAATCTATAGAGAGAATATTTCTTCCTATATGGGTGAAAAAGGCTGGCAATGCTATTTCACATTTGACACATGCAGATTAAAAAAAAAACTAATTGACTGTACTAAAATCCTGCTTTTTGCACTTGGCTACATGAAATAACAATTAGCATTCGCACTGAATTTTAAGGATCTTAGATTGTGAACTTTCCTCGCGTAGTGGAATCTGTCAACTTGAAATAAAAATGTTTGTTGTCATAATTGTGTAGTACTTGAGTTGACGATAAGCAAAACAGCAACTCTTCCATGTGTACTTTTATCATTTTCTGCTTACTTTTCCTTCAAAGTTACCATCTTTTTTTGTCACTGTTTATGAAATCATGTGTGTCTTTATTTTTGCTGTCTTTCAACATCATTCGCAAACAGCTCGATCGTCAGCACCCAAACCTCCAGTTGGGCCCACTCGATCTATTAATACACAGGCTAACATGATCAATCAGATGCTGAAAGGCATACAAGAGTCAAGTACTGTAAAAAAAAATTCTTTTATTTTAAATTCAATGAATTGCTAGCTTAGTCATTTCCTATTTAATTTATCGTAGTGTAGCTTCTATGAAGCTAGTTCCCACTGTAAGCTTTTATCCAGAAATGGCTAGCGCAACGCTTTTAGAAATAGCTTTGGTTTCAAAATGTCCACATTTTCTGTCTAGCAATGTCTGACATATGCAACATTTTCAAATATCAACGTCAGCACAAAATAACATTGTTGTTGCATAACATTTTGCATGAGATCTGTGAATTTGTATGATTTCAATGATGTATGAAGTTATCGAAAACTCTGTTGTTTCATTGAGCAGTGCTCCAGCTATTTTCGTACAACACAATAAATTGAAGGAGTTGTCTAAAAAAAAATTTATTAAAAAAAAAAATCAAGTACGGGATGGATTTGCATTTTACCTAGAGACAGAAACTTGTAAATGTCTTGTTACAAAACTTTTGGTACATATTCCCTCCACAAGTTAAAGGGTGTCCAAAGTCTAGTAATTAACACAGCACAAATTGGGTAGCAAGCCAAAAAGTATTGGTAGATTGTTGTCAGAACTGTTCCTTTCTTGCACCTTTCCCTTTTTTCCCCTGCCTCACAGAAAAATGCTGTCTGTTGGATTATTTGCACAATCTACCTAAACCAGAAGAGAATGCTTTTCATTTTCTTCCTGTTAGTTTTTTAGAAGAGGTAAATAAAAGACTCACAAATGGACCATCACTCTTGAATCAAATCTATGCAGGAAGAATGGTCAGGTGCATTGATCCTTTCTAGTTGGATTCAGGTAAAATCACTTGGATCTAATAAACCACCAATTGCTAAGACAATTGTGATTCTGAGCCCTTTTGTCAAATGCCTGAATTTGACCCTTAAGTTGTGATTCAGTCAGTCAGTTTCTGACTGACTAGCAATAGCAATAGCACTTAGACTTATATGCTGCTTCACAGTGCTTTTTACAGCCCTCTCCAAGCGGTTTACAGAGTCAGCACATTTCCCCCAACAATCTGGGACCTCATTTTACTGGAAGGATGAAAGGCTGAGTCAACCCTGAGCCTGGGGAGATTTGAACTGCCAAATTTCAGGCAGCTGGCAGGCAGCAGAAGTATCCTGCAGTACTGCATTCTAGCCGCTGTTCCACCATAGCTCATAAGCCAGCAAACTTTGATTAATACACATGATCAATTCCTGGTTTCTTATTCTAATAAGCAGCAATTTTGCAATACTTTTGAAGCTTGGTTACTAATCATGGAAGGCTTCAATATGACACGAGGAAAGAGATAAGCAAACAGTCTCATATCTATGAAATACTTTGAAGGGGACTGCTTTATCAAATTTCAACAATAGCAATAATAATAATAATAATAATTATAATAATAATACCGACAAAATACTGGCGCATAATACACCAGACATTACACTGGTTGAGAAAAATAA